AAAGACATGGGAGTAGGAAACTATATAGTGCATCCAGATATCTGCAAATAGTTGGGGTGACAGTGTAGAGGGAGGCACTTAAAATTTTTTTTTTTAAATTGCAGAGAGGAAGGAAGAGGGAGAGAGATAGAAACATCAATGATGAGAGAGATTCAATGATCAGCTGCCTCCTGCACGTCCCCCACTGGGGATCGAGCCCACAACCTGGGCATGTGCCCTGACAGGGAATCAAACTGTGACCTCTTGGTGCATGAGTTGATGTTCAACTACTGAGCAACATGGCCGGGTTCCTGTGCTCATTATCATAGCACATTTATTCTATAATAATAAAAGGCTAACATGCTAATTAGACCAGATGTCCTTCTGGGCGTCCTTCCATCCGGACAAAGCTGGAAGGAGTCGAGGCAGAGATGGCAGAGGCCCCCGGCCACAGCAGTGGTGGTGGTGGGCAGGGGCCAGGGCCAAGGCCCTTGCACGAATTTCGTGCATTCAGCCTCTAATATTACGTAATAGGCTGCTGGTATTTATTGAATGAATGGTTTAGGGTGACCTTAGTTTGCCTGGGACTGTCTGGTTTTAGCACTGAAAGTCCTGTCCCAGGAAATTCCTCAGTCCTAGGCAAATCTAGATAAATGGTCATCCTAAATTGACATCTCAAATTTTTTTGAATGAGCAAATGAATGAATGACAGTGTCAATATCAAAGTTAATGACCCTCAACTTTTCTTGTGTGTATATGAGCATAAACACATTTGGAATGTCTGGAGGATTCAGTTCTTTTCCTATATGCTTCACCCCTCATTGAACTGAGGATGCTGTGGAAAGACATTCTCATGACCTGGTTGAATTCCAGTCCCAGCTCTATTTTGCCCCATAATCCTGTAAGAAAATAGCTTAACTTTCTCAAGCAGGGCTCCTTATCCAAACCAAAGAACAAGAAAATGGTTTGAGTATTATTTCTCAATTCTCTAAAAGTTGGCACATAAGTATTCTAGATGCACAGGAGAGAAGCTGATGAATATTATTGATGCCTTAAGTCATTTAGGGTTTAATTCTTCCACCTGTAGAGAATTACACAGGCCTTACAGTCAAGAATGCCACTGATTGTCCTCTGCTCTTGTTCATTAGCACAACTGGCTGAAGGAGAAAAGCTATGGAAAATGTGGAAGGACCGGACTTGTGTTATCTGTGTTCTGCAAATTGAGGAACTGAGGCCTGGAGAGGAAGTGCATACTCATTTTACAAAGACAGACAAAGGTAGAAAGCTGTAAGATCTCACTGGTTAGGAGGGGGAAATAGAAATACAACCAGCTACCTCCTATGCCTTGATGTAGCGGTTGTCACCAACTTCGCTTCTCAGCTGGCAATTGCCAAAGTCAGGCTGCACTGTATGTCATCTTGTGGAAGACAAATGATCTATAAATAAATTGACTTGGAACAGTCTCAAATACACAAAAACCACAATGGCTTTAAAAGTAAGTCTTGACTTTTCACCCCTCATTTTCTTTCTCGGAGAGGTAAGCAAGGAAGTTTCCGTAGATAGGCCTTACTGAAAATCAACCCAAGAAACCAGAAAGTTCTTTGTATTTTCTTTAACAGGCATATTTCAATACCAAATACTTGTTTGGAAGCTCCTTGAGTCAATCATACATCTCTAAGCATGCACCTGTATATTAGACTTAAGCTCCTGCTCATTATATCAATTCTTTAAAAACATTCATTTTCTAAAGGAGGTGATTATGTATTTTGTCATTCAATTTCCCATCATTAAAAATTTCATATGTAAATCACTGAATACTGATAGGGTAATGTGTAAAGAGGGGATGTTTTTAGTGACTAAACTGAAGGAAAAGGTTATTGATGGCTCTTCCATCCGAGGAGGAATTTCTGAATAATACCTTGTATAGACTTAGGAGCTACCAGAATGCAGAGCAATGGCGGCCTTAGGGCTCTGTTTTCAGCTCAGATTCTGGAGCAGAGGTACCCACTTTTAAATAACATTCTTAATAGTATTTCATTTGTAGGATGCCTTTCCCCCATGGCATCATTACATCACCATAGGACAACAGAAGCACAGGGTCCTGAGTTCATTGAACAATCATTCATCTGAAAGGAAGGTCACAGGGTTGCCAATACTAATTTGAAAAGCACTTATTTTATGCCTGATTTGCATGACTGACAGAAAGAAAATCCAACTCTCGCCTAGTAAAGGAAATACTTTTGAAGGCATTTGAAAATGTCTAACTTGGCTAAAAAAGGTTGAATTCTACTGAAGCTTTACAAATGGGTGCAGATAGCCACTAGAAAAGGTCTTGGTCTTGCTGGACATGAAGATGCTCTGGAGGGAACCTTCTTCTCAGAAGAAATGATTTAAAGTTAGCTTGCTAAGAAATGCTATTCACTAGGTTTAAAAGGTCCACACATTTGTGCTTTTTACTAGAAAATTCGAAGGACTTGATATGGCCCAAGATGATTTTTTTCTAGATGGCTGTTCTACCAACAACCATCTTAAGGAACTTAGTTTGAGCATTAAACCCTAGTTCCTTTCTAACTTCCCAGTGCCCTCTCCTAAGCTCAGCTGGCTCTAGTAATGCCTAATCACTGGCAGCTCCTACATCAAGCCATACAATTGCATGCCTTTGAGCCTTTGTTGTTTTTTTTTTCCTTTCATCTAAACTTTGATTCCCTCTTCCTCCCCACCTTCCCATTTTTTCCTGCCCATTTATCATGTCAGACTTAATTTAGGAGTCACCTTTAGGAATCCTTTTTAAAACCTGTGGTAAGCTAAGATCCCCTCCTCTGTGCCTTGTAAGCCTCCCTCTATGGTAACAGTTATGTTATATTCAAATTGAGTTCACACAGTAGGTGTTCACTATCTGCTTGTTAAATATTCCAGGTTATGGACACCCTTGCTTATTTTGGGGAGGGCCAAGGAGATAATATTAAAAAAAGTGTGTGTGATAAAATACACACAAAATTTGCCATCTTAATTTTGGCATTAAATGCATTCATAATGCTGTGCAACCATCACCACTATTCATCCCATAACTTTTTTCATCTTGTAGAACTGAAACTCTATACCCATTAAACGACGACTCCCCATCCCCCTAGCCCCAACCCCTGGCAGCCACTTTGTCTCTATGATTTTGACAATTCTAAGTACTTCATGTAAATGGAATCATACAGTATTTATTCTTTTTGTGACTTATTTTACTTAGGTTAATATCCATGTTGTAGCATATTGTAAAATTTCCTCCATTTTTAAAGCTGAATAATATCCCATTGTAATCATATTTTCCCTATCCATTAATCCATTGATGGGAATTTGGGTTGCTTCTACGTTTTAGCTATTCTGAAATAATGCTGCTATAAATATGAATGTACCAATATCTTTTCATGATTCTGCTTTCAGTTCTTTTGGGTATATATACCTATAAGTGGAATTGCTGAGACAATCTGGTAATTCTTTTTTTAATTTCTAAAGGAACTACCTACTGTTTTCCTCAGTGGCTGATCCATTTTACTGACTCCCCACAAACAATGCACAAACAAGGATTCCAGTTCCAAGGAGCTGTCATATGGTTTTTAAAATGTCCGTTTAAATTTGAGAGATTAGAGACCCAAAAGGGCAAATTCATTATGAGGGGAAGATATATTGCAGTGACCTACCCTGTGCCAGGTGCTTCAACATTTTACATTCACTGTAATTCTATATAATAAAAGGCTAATATGCAAATTGCCCCAATGGCGGAACGCCGGGTCGCTATGACACACTGACCACCAGGGGGCAGACGCTCAACGCAGGAGGGGCGCCACTCAGCCAGAAGCTGGGCTTGCGGCTGGCGGGCGCAGCCGAGGTGGTGGGAGCCTCTCCCGCCTCAGGGGCAGCGCTAAGGATGGCCGACTGCCAGCTTGGGGTGCAGGAAGGGCTGAGGGACCTCTCCCCCCATCTGAGGCCTCCCCCCCGCAGGGCATGAATCTTGTGCACCAGGCCTCTAGTCATAGAATTCTAATTCTCACAATAATCTGATAGGCATTATTATCTCCATTTTATAAATTAGGCTAAAAATTAAGTAACTCATCCAAGGTCATACATCTAAGGAAGTGACCCAACCAAAACTCGGACCCAGGACTGACTGCAAGCCAGAACCCAATTATTCTACAGCATCAAGGAGCTATTGGGAGTGACTAACCCCACAGAATCTCGGATACTGAGGGGTTTGACTTTTCTTTTCCTCTGGTAAATTACCCCTGGCAGGGAAGGCGAAGGGGGAAGTATAAACGGAAGGCCTTTTCAGATTAGTCAACTGAGCAGCTGCCTTTGCCCTTATCCAGATTTTCACGGGTTTTGTGAGGGAGCGAAATGTAAAATGTGTGGCCTCCACGAGGCTGAAATACGAAGGTGAGCGCGGGGTACGGTTTTCCTGAGGTCTTTCTCCATCCACTCAGGTGTCTACCCCTACACAACGGGCGGCAAACCACGTGCGAGCGTGGCGGGGAAGCGCGCGTGGAGGAGGAAGGTTCTCCAGACAAGCGCTGGGAAAACGACCTGCCGCCGGGCGCAGTCGCCAGGACAGCGCGGCCGGAGCAGCAACGGCAGAATCCGCACCGCGTCCCCGCGGCGGCCGCTGCGAGCCCGAGTGACGCATTGCAGGTACAAACCAGCCAATCAGAGGCCGGCGCAACGTTCATCGCACACGCGCCTCTACGACTATGCTCCTCCGCGCCGCAAAGTAGCGCCCCTCAGGCGCCTCTCTACGGGCATTTTAGCGGCTCACCGGAGAATGAAAACCACTTACGTCGTCCGTTTGTCCACTTCTCTTTACCCTTTGCATCGTCGACCAAATAACTGTGGAGGATAAAGGGTTCTCGAGGAGAGTTGGCGGGGGGGAGGGGGTGCCTGGGGGGAAGGGCCGGGACTCGTTTGTGATGTTCCGTTATCTGGCATGCGGCGGAGGGATCTGGCGGAGGGAGGTGTTTATGAGGCGCTGGGGGCGGAGGGGGAGAATTAGTCCGAGTGGAGCGAGCGAGCTGACTGGTTGTGTGGTTGCGTCTCGGAGACCGGTAGCGCTTGCAGCATGGTGAGTGCGTTGTTAGGCTGCTGGCGCTTGGCCTGTGGGGGAAAGAAGCTGAAGCGGATTGACTAAAGAAAGGGAACTCGTTCCCTTAATACCTCCAGGAGTGGTCTTCTCCTGCCGGAAGGCGCGCAAGGGCCTGGGGGCGCCCGCGGCGGTTGTGTCGCAGGTGTCCTCCCACCCCTATTCTCAAGGAGCTGTCCCCTAGGGCATTGGGGGCCCTGCTCCCGAGACCGCCAGGTCCTAGGGGCTTGGCCGAGTGAGGATGGATCCGGGGCGGGGGGCAGCCCAGCACATGAGGGAGGCGAACGAGTGGAAGGGCGGGCGGGAGGAGCAGGAGCGCCAAAGCTTTGGGTCAGGCATCTCGAAAGGTCGCCGGATTCAAAAGCCCAACGGACGGTTAGCACGGTTGCCAGGAAGCGCTTTG